GTCATCTCAAACCGGTCAACGTTGTTATACCATACCAATACTTAATGTAAAGAAGCCATCCACTCCACATTCAATTCTGAGCCAAATGACAGGAGCGCTGGTAGTGAAGGCACTGTCAAGTCAACAGAGTTTCGTTAGCGTATTGCTTATCCTAGCAGAAAGCACCTTATAGAGTAAGCAAGGAAATGCTTGTGTGTCTAGCAAACTCCTCTCTCCTCGACGTTTTTATTATTATTTCCTATCCAGACCTTGGTATTAGCGTTCCCTAAAGGACCAGGCAGTAATTTAGGTGCCCATTAGGGTGTGAAACGCAGCAGAACTGTAACATGCATACTCTCTTGTCAGCACTTGACTAAGGAGGGGAAAAGACCCTCTAGCTACATTTACCAGAGCAGCTGGAAAAGTGTAGTTTAATGAGGAGGCTTTCAAAGTGAAAATTTTCAGAAACATACACTCATGCCAGCAGAGCTTACTAGGATATTTTTTAGTAATTAAATGTAATTACATCTACACCTGTAGTCAAATTTTCATAGCTAGATACAGGCAAATAAAAACCAGGAAGCAAAAGTCAAACAATTAATTGGATGAGCATTTCATATGCTTGTCTTATTGGATTTTTTTTTGCTGTTTCTTACCTTGGCAGTTTAGTAAAGTGACATGAGGTGCTAGCTGCTCTGGTGAAGGGCAGTGAGAATTTTGCCAAATGCAGAGCATAAGATATATTTTGATCTTTCCTTGTTTGAAGGGTAGTTTTGATAGCAGAAAAGCAAAATAATGTTATGCTGGTCAATTTTGCAATCACATTTCAATGAGCTTGTTCGCCAGCTACCAATGTCAGACAGCAGCGAGGCAAGCTGGTAGATTAAATAAATACATAAATATCCTTGATTTTACTGATCAGGAAATTTAAATGTGAAATGATCAAAACTAAAATTTTCAGAAAAAAATCAGGTCCATCTGCCACTAAGTGGCAGGAGGATGAAGAACTACTTGATAAATTATCCATTTCTTCATCTAGTTCCTGAAATTGTATGGATTTGTGCCATTTAAGTCTGACTGGTTACGCAGTTAACATGCAGCAAAGTTGGGAGCACAGCACTGCTTCCCGCTGCCCAAAGACATGAGCCTCACTCATGCCTGAGGCAAGGAGGCTTGGTAGAGACAGAGCCAGGAAGACTAAAGTCTCCTTTTCCTACCTACAAAGTTATATATGACCACCAATTGTATTCGTAAAATGTCAGCATTTGGTCCATTTCTTTCATATTTTTGAGGATATGAAGCTTTGTTCACTGGCATGGTAATGTTTCCCCGTGAAGGTGTTTCATGTAATCTAGTAACACAAAACTGGCTGGACTGTTTCATAGCACTAGCATCTTCTGATTTCTTTGTAGCTTCAGCTGTCCTGCATTAAAATCTGCAGTATTGCACTTGCAGTCCTTATGTGACAAGCTGGCTCCTTGCTTCTGTTTCATCTACTTTACTTTCTCCAGTGGCACAGTTTTTATATTGTCTCAGGCCAGAATTATATGAAGGCTCCAGGCCCACAGTGACATTGTGCCCTTAAATTTTATTCAGACTCATTTCTCTGAGATTCAGATCATTCTATTTTAGGTCATTATTTAACCTAAATCTATTATAGGAGGACACCATGACAAAAAATTACCAAATCCAAAGCTCTACTAGCCCGCTGTGATTTTTATCTGAAAATGTCCAGCTTTGTTTTCCAAAGGAAAATTCCAAACTCTCCACACAAAACTTTCTCCAGCAATTATGCCAGCCACTTACTGAGTTTCTTCTGTGTAAAAGCTGCCCTCTGTGACCTGCTCTGTTCCTCCAGTGCCTGACTGAAACCCTACAGAAAAGGCTTTTATTTGCTCTTGCCACAGGGAAAGAAAGCAGGGTACTTAGCTGGATGAGATAAGCTTTTGCAGGATGACTCCACTGCAGAGCCCATGGGTGACATCAGAGGCCAAGTCCTTTGAAACATGTCACCTCTTGCCCTGCACAGTTGCTCCAAGTGCATTAACGTTATCCACTGGGAAAAGAGAGGCAGATGAATTTTAATCTCATTCTAAAATGACCATAAGGCTTCCGCCAACACGATCATGCCATTTGTGCAGTCACAGAGATTCACGGAAAAAAATGAGGATCCGTGTCAAGCAGTTGTCCCTATAGCCAGCTTTCTTAGACTTTGGTTGGTTTCTGACCTCATTTGTATAAAACTAGCTTTGGAGTAGCTCAGCATATTATGCCAGTCTGGTTGGGTGACTGTGCTACTAAACATTCAGGAGGGCTGTGCTAACAAGAGCTTATAGGAGATAAATCCCTTGCTATTTCTTCCTCCATATTTCAATAACATAGTGGGCAAAACCTCTTGGGTTTCCCTGGAAGTAAGGGGAATTTTGCACTGGGTAAAGACTGAAGCCTAAAGCTCTAATGCTGAAATGAGCTCTACATAGGCAGATGTACTTCTGGAAGTGACTGTCCTTAGAGAAATAAGGGCTCATTTCAGAGTGTTTATTTTCATATTCGGACTGATAGAAATATCCTTTAGACTGAATCCTTCATATATGAGGAACTGACCTTTTCCCTTCCTGTGAACACTGACTAAAACCTGAACCTTCATTATTTTGCCAAGTTCTAGTCCTGTTTACCTGACCTAAGGGTCACACTAGCTTCAGACAGTGTTTACCCAGCACAGGAGAAAGCCAACAATGGCTTTTACCTCAGCAGAGGTGTAAAGAAACTCTAATTAAAGCTCTAACCTTATTTTTGGGTGCCTCTACTTTCCAATAACTTAGGTATGTACAACTCTGATCTCAGCTCTTCATACGGTTTCTAATATACCACTTTAAAACAAAACCACAAAACCTTCCAAGAAACGACTTTAGTGGATTAAATTGCTGTTAGCTAATTAGAGCAGTGTGATGTAATTGCCTAGTTACAAACATGATCAGGAAATTTCTCCTCCTGTGTAAGTATGATGGTCCTGATTCCATAGTAATTGATGGGAACTGAAGGTCATTGAAGAATCAAGGATTTCATTCTTTCCTGTGAACCAAGTCTGATATTTGTGATGGGGTTTCAGATCGTTTCCTGACCCTCTCAGAAGGGATGTATGCTCACAGAATTTAGTAAAGCAATTGAGCTTCTTATTATCAATGGATTTGACAGAGATTTAAGGGTGAGAAGTCTGCTGCTTGTTCGACTTCCATTAGGTGGATGCATCTGATTTGCATTAGCTAACTGGTAATGCTCTTTCTTTCTTTTCCATTCTAGTCTCATCATATTTTTTATTATCTTAGAAATTTTCTGCATGGCATCATTTGATGCCAGAAGTAGTTTATTGTAGTACAAGCATATATAGTTATAGCAGGTATAATGATAGACTATTCTAGCAAAATGGCTTCTGTGGGATTGCAATTGACCAAACTGCACCTCTAACCATCTCTACCTTTCGTTTCTTTTCACAACTCATTCAGAACACTGCCGCCTCAAGCATGTCTCTTTTGCACCTGTAGGCTCATTTCTAATCTCTGTTTACAGGATTTGGAAAACTGGTTTGTTTGTGTGATTTTTTTTTTTGTAAGTCATTCTTAAATTTTCACATTGTTGTGATGTTATTCATTGGCACCGTCTGCCTTACAGGTATGAATGGTTATTCTAACTCCATACAAGGCAAATTGCTGCTCACAAAGGTGCCTGTCCTGCAAGGGCTGCCGGGAGAAAGGAAAGGTTGGAAAGTGTACGGTCATGGCTGGTTTGGTGTCTAAAACTCTAAAAGTGCAAGCCCAAGGCGTAGAGTTGTGCATATTCTTAGAAGTGAAACTGGAAACTGGACAAAGCTGCTGATTTTCAGTTTTTGTTCCTTATCCAAGCCTCTACTTGGGTTTACCAAAAACGCTTTGAATCTGGGCAAGTTTAGGGTTTCAGGAGGGAATGGGACATAACTTCTCATTGTCCTCTGATGAAAGTTTGAGATTTATTCCAATTTCAGCCTCCAAACTAAATCCAGGATCCTGAGCTAAAAAAAAATCTAATACCGAATCTTTGAAGTCAATGTCTCTCTTGCATACAACTAACAATAAAAATTACAAGCCTATGAATGATTACCCATTTAGACAGCCTGTCTTCACATCTCAAAGTAATTTGCAGAATATAATAGGTGCTACTATATTTATTTACAGGTAGAAAGTCAAGGAAGTGATGAGTCATCTACCAAAGTTCATATAAATTTCAGTGGCAGTAATTGGCCTTGTGATTGTCTTGTCTAATTCTGTATCTGTCAGACTATGCTTCAGTAATCAGCTTTGTTTTGATCCACACTTTTAAACCTAGAGTATTAGTCATTTTAATGCCTCTCAAGGTGCACAGATAGAGTGGTAAAGAATACAGA